ACAACTTAAATCTTCGGTTTAATCTTGTGTTGAATGAAGTTCTTATAGTTTTGGACTATAAATAACTTTGTATTTACATGTGGTTACTTTCCAAAGCACCTGTAGCATTACTTAATAGTTTCTAATACTATTAACCAGTAAAATATTGCCAAAGTCTGTAGCGATCCAGGTAGCAAGTATGGAATTAACATAATTAGCATCCCTCGAAGGTAATAGAAAAGATAGAAACGTCTACAGAAGTAGTTTAATTTTGAAAAAAGCGCGTAGATGCACGTATGTTGAACAGCAGGGCACGCCCATCGAAAACGAAGTAATCAATAAATCGAACGATGTAGACTCACCTGCAGTCCAATTAACAAGCCGTGTAGTAATTCGCAACTTTCATCGAAGAGCGACTGTACGCGAGGAATCCGTTTCGTGCAACATTTCTGAAATTTCTCAGATGTCGCTATGACTTGATAACAGTAAGAAATGTACTGAATTTTCTTCTGATTCCTTTTTAAGGTGCTCGACAATCCGATGAGATAAACAGATGGAAAAATGGACAAAGGAATCCGCGAGTGCGATACGCGTTGCTACTAATTAAACAAGCCGGGGAGAGAATCGACTGAGAACCACTATACTCGCGCTAGAAGGCAACGAGCGAGTCTACGCCAGGTTGTTTACTACAAAGAAGGCGAGGCGTGTCGTTGAACCTGGCTCTGGAGAGTAGCGAGCGCAAGGCGGACCAGGCATGCCTCTCCTCTCGTCTTTGCTCTCTTCTTCGCTTTCAGCGATACGTTCCTCGCTTCTTTCCTTCTTGCGCTCTTCCTTTCTTGCCTCCACAGCCTCCAGGAACCCCTGTTTCCATCTTTCATTGCCAAAGCTGCTGTCCCGATTTCTGCTTGTTAATATCTACCGAACGATAAAGCGATCGCGAGATTACCTGCCTCGGACGCGATATCGGCGACACGATGCGACTTCCTTTTTGGGGTTTCGACTCCATTCGGTCGCCTGGACTCGTTGCTGGTGTCTGTGTTGTCTGGAGCTTCGGATGTATCAACGGAAAGGATTGCGTAATTGAAAGATTGATAATTCAGGGAATACAAATCAAGATTTTATTTGTTTCGTCATTGGGATAATTTATTTCTTTGTGAGAGAATTTGAAAGGTTCTTAATGGGGCGTACATGGTTCTTTCAGATTAATAGATTTTCACTATCCACGTATTGTTATGAGAGTTATTTGTGCTAGGGTCAGTTTACTGCCAGTACCTTTTTAATTTTTTGGGGGTACTATTCATTTGTCGTCAGTGATAGTATACCAATCTTGAAATATTTACATTTTTTTGTAGATACGAAAAGTTTATTTTATTTGGTTTATTTTGAAAAGGGCAACCTATGATTGATTGGTTGGTCATTTGAAGTAAATCTTAATATTAAATCAAATATTCTTTTCAATGTTTATCTAGAAATTGGAACATAGAGACCTATATACAGACAATTTCCATTTTACGAGGCATGAAAGTAATTAAAATCAACTTCGACGAACTCTAGTCCTGTTCATCTATTTAAACATAATATTCCACTTATTTCCTTCTGTTATTTCACAATGCGGATATTCTCGTAGCTACTAGAATAATTCTCAGAAAATCGCCTTTATTAAAATGATCACATATATCATTTTACCATAATTCAAATGAAATTCAAAGAATTACCACAGTCAAGTATTAAATACTAGTTATATGCTTTTTCCTTAAAAAAAAAAAAAAAAAAAAAAAAAGGATTGTCCACTCAAGAAAATTTGGAAGGTTTGCCTGTCTTTCACTTGTCCTAACTCTTCAAAGTATTGCACATATCGGGTCAGTTCGTACATGACCTCGTCGAGCATCCACCGCTCATTAGGATGAGTCGCACGAGGTTCAATAAAATCGTCTAGACTAGCAGTCGGCAATTTCATCTCTGGTTTAGCGTACAAAATTATTTGCCACGCGTCTTATGACACGGTATGCTGTTCGACCATCCACCGAATATCGTCAAAATCTGAACGCAGGCGTGCAAATCGAGGATACACCGTGGATTCGTACCCGGAATCGTAGCGTTCCACGGTGTCTCCGTCGCAACAAGTGCAACGTATGTGAACGCAGATGGGCCGACTGGCAAGCTTCCAGGCCGTTTTCGTGCAATGACCGTGATATCGTGCCCATAATTTTGCCCATCCTCCACGACTGTCGTCCGGCTCTTCCTTCGAACTCGAACGATTCGTTTCGATGCGTCGCTTCCCGCTGCTATATTTACTTTAAATAGAAAGCTTGTACTGCGTGGATGACGATACTTGGTTTGGGAACAGTATGGGAAATTCTACAACAATTTATAGGTTTTGGAAGTAATTGTGAGAAATTGTTCTATATCGTTATATCTGTTAGTTGAAATAACTAAAAATTAATTTCTGACTCGAAATCTGATCTCGAAATCGAGACTAGATCGAGATTTATCTCGTTTCATGCGCATCACTACTGAAAGCCACATTTTACTTGTGAGCACAGTTACGTCAATCACATTCGACAATGTTCTTTTTTGGGGTAGAGATCCGAGCACCCTCCAGCGGTCTCGAGCGAGTTTCGCGAGAAGCTCATGATCTCGAATCACGTAATTCTGCCTTCTCGGAAACAAAATCGACGGAGTACACGCGAACCCCTCGTCGAGCTGCGTGCGATTGGACCTTGGGTATTCTAATCGCATCAGGAGCGAAGGATTCGTCGTTTTGCGGTCGCGATACACGTTCCGATGATGAGGATAGCATTAGGGATGGACTTGAGAGTATCGCAAGCATCGACGCCTCGCAATGCGTTCTCGAAATATATAGAAACACTTTCAAGTACAACAACAATGTTTACGAACAAAGTACACACTTTCTATAAATATTAATTAGGCCTTCGTTCAATACGTTCTGAATATCTAAACTTGATTGGATATCCACTTCAACATTGCTTATAAATGCTATCCTGTTCTAATTGTACTCCATTTTATCTTTTAATCCGTGTTATTCCCTATTTACCTGTTACTCGCAATAATTTTTTAGTAACAACGTTTCGTATTTTTTTGTTAATGTTTTATATGAGCGTATTTATTGATTATAATTTATTCTAATACAATTTATAAGTATTCATTCTCTCACAATTTTCACGTTATCATTAGACTGCGAATATTTATGCATTTATGGCGAGTGTAAATATACAACGATGTGAAGAAATGTATGCATATATAGAATATGAATAATAAAATACACATTACAACATTTAGTAGTCATAATATAATTTTCACCTGTGTATACAAAAATATGAATTTGCATAAACATCTGGAGTTTATCATCCATACACCGATACCATGATGACACTTTGCAATAACGTCGATTGCACAAACATCGGAACATTTACAAGCTCGATCCAAATCCATGTGCACTATACAGGTGCAACAAATTGGTTCGATCAGGTAGATAGTGAGGGGAGGGGAGCGAATTCGCGGGTTGCGTGTGTTCGCGCAATCAAAAAATTCTTGTTGCAAAATCGGAAATTGATTGAAATCGATGCTGACGCCAGGCAATCCGTACTTGTTGAAATTACGGTGCAGAGAGTCGATGATGTTCGACCCTTTGTGGTAACCGATGATTTCACGTTAGGGGCTACCGAAGAAAAATGCACGGCTTCGAGAACTATTTACGTTGGTATCGTGGCATCTTACTATTACGTACCCTAATCCGTCAATTTTATTAAAATGAGATCACATGAATGCTGGGAGAAGAACACACGAACAACGTTTAAAGGAGGTATAATGAAATGTTTTGAGTATGGCAACGATTGGCAAGTTAGCTCACAATTTGAGTAATACTACTGATTGTAGACTTGATGATGATGATGATGATGATGATGATGATGATGATGATAATAATAGTGTGTTTAGTATGGCATGCAGGAAGGAAGTATGTGTATAGTGCTACTCTGAAGGCTAACTTGTAATGGTGTAAAGAGATGAGAGATGAAGACAGTGAGAATAATCAGGATAATAAATAAGTAGATATTAATAATGGATGGGGATACTTACTACGGAGTTCAGCTATTGTTGATATTGAAGTATACAATAGTCCTTGTAAGTAGAAAACATATGGAGCAGTATACAGTTAATTCCATAAGTATTCATATCTTGTAGTCTGTTGAAGAAATTTGTCTAAATGAAATGGTCAGTTTTATGTTTCCAAATAAAAATTTTATTATAACAATGTACATTCGATTAAAAGAAGTTAGAGTAAATAACAACCATAAGACTATTGGAGAATATAATTGATAATCAATTGCAATATAAATAAAATAAAGATTGTAAGAAATGCTTTGACACACGTTCACAAGTATTGTCAATTACTGCAACATATTTAAATTTCAGCTGAAACCTAAACTTCAAGAAGTATCCCATTTGGCATGGAATCATCCGATACGAACGTGACTTCTTTGCAACTTGTGAAATTCAGAATTTGCATACCCGTTTCCAAGAACCCTCAGCTTACCAAGAAGATCTTTGAAGTCCTCGATGCAGATTTTTGATGAAACATTGCAGGTTTTTCGAGCAGCCAAGGGTAAAAGACACGCGTATTTCTCTAGCTGTTGAAATTGAAGTTTGGTGGCTGGAAGTGTACTCCAAAGTTTCGCTTCTCTAATGGTACCGCGGGAAGTATCGCAAGAATCTTTTTAAAGAACTCGAGGTATGTGCTGCAATCAAAGCGTGAACTCCGCAAACATATAATTATATTTAGCAGAGAATACACTCAGGCGATCGCAACAGAACATCATAAAATAAATAATTTTTTAAATTATGAGTAACTCTTTCAGACTCTCTCGAATATAGCTAGACACTCCACATGCTTTTTCAATCGAATCTCAAGTGTTTCTTCTAAAAGTACCTAATCTATTTGGCATGGAAGCATTCCACATAGAGATAATTTTAATGAACAATTACACATAGTATTGAGAGAACGTCATTGACAAACATCATAAAATAAACAATTTTTTCAATTATGAGTAATTCTTTCAGACTCTTTAAATATAGCTAGAGACTTCTATATGTTCTTTTAATCAAATCTCAAGTGTTTCTCCCAAAAGTACCTAATCTATTTGGTGTTGCCTCAACAAGTAAAGCACTGTACCTAATCTCATGGAACCACTCCACATAGAGATGACTTTATTACACATGGTACTGAGATAACATCATTGTAAAAACAATTCTTTAAATTAAGAGTAATCCATCGGAACTTGTTTAAAAATATCTAATATCACAATGCATAAAAGATTCAGCCAAATTGAGGATGTTACTGTAAGAAGTGTCCAGTTTGACATAGTATGACGCTATCCTGAGGTATGTTTATGACGCGAACTAACGCAGCCCTACTTTTGAAGCAGCCGCTGTAGCAACATCGTGTCTTCTCCGAAACGATCAACCGGGTGATCGCAACCTGGAGGAGCGGTTCGCCTTCCTGGGCATTTCAATTTCGACGAAACGGATGCATCAGGCTGGCGCACACGCACGGGCCTTGTAACGAGTAGACCGCCAGGGCTTTCGTGGCGCATCTTCATGTACCGACGAATCCATCGTCCGTTGCGAACGGGCCGAGTGGACCGGATTCCGGGCCGTGCTTTGACCGTTGCTGTAATAAAGGGCAATCATCGACGATTACACCGAGCTGGTTGCTGACTGGACGCGTGTGCGTCAACGTTTACTGTGTACGAGCGCGTCCCAGGACCAACGCTCAGCCCTCGCTTGTAATTGTGCGCTCTGTGCGTGCATTGATTTGCGCGCCGCGTGCGTGTATCGTAATTTTTGTCGTTTTGTCCGTCCGGGCACAAAGAATAAATTTACTCTTCGTTTAATATCGCTTTTGGATCGCCTGACGAGTACTCGGCTGACTTGGAGCATCTTCCGCGAGAGGTTGAACCAGCGATGGAAGGTGTTTGTTGGTTTAGCATTGCGAAGGTTGGAGGGGTTGGTGGAAGTTTGAGTGGTTTCTGAGGGCGGTTCGAGATGTAATCATTGGTATTAGTTTGGAGTTTGTTTAGAAATGAAAATTGATCTGAAAATTGTACTTGAATTCAAAGACTTTTGGTTTAAATATGGAACAATTTCTGATAAAAGTGAAAAGTGTCTTACCTCATATCCATCATGTTAATTAACATCTTCTACAATTTATAAAATAGTCAATTAGTAATTTATAACATATAGTCAGTTTCACCCCAAAGAAATTATTGATCGCTTGGTATAGTATTCTGATCAGTTACTAGTTCGTCGTACTTATGTAGTTGTTATATTATTCAATCAGTTAATACCTGTCGCGATGGAATTCTGGCATCGTAACACGTATCGACGATTCACTGTATCATAAATAATACACGTTCGTATGCATATTTATATGATATACAAAGTGTACCCTAATGATTGTGACCTACAGTCAGTCTCATAAATATTCGTACCACCCAGGTCTATTAACGAAATTTGTATAAATTATATGATATGTTCAATGTTTCCAAATAAATTTTTTACTGTGAATACAAAGGTGTAAAATCTATTTGTGTATATATGCGTAATGAAACATTTATTTGAAAATATTGAACCTATCATTTAATTTAGACAGAGTTCTTTAATAAACGTAGAGGCTACGAATTCTTATTGGACTGACTGTCTATGAGAAAGATTGTGTGCCAGTGAAAAATGTCTTTTTTGAACGCACCTGTGTCCTCGTCGGACCAAACACGCTCAGGCTGGTCTGTCCAATCAGTCGATCATCCCTTGTATCTGCTCCTCGTGGTATCATATATGCATCGGGAATTGTATACAGCCTGTAATTACCGCGAATAACGTAATGCCAGACGAATGTAAACATTCGCGTGCGTTCTATGTATTCGCAATTAGGGGTATAAAATGCATGCGTCGTTAATTATGCCGCTGTGTACACACCTTTCGCATAGAGCACGCTGCGGTGGCCGCGGTGAAACGCGAACAATCTGCCGATGGTGCTGGTCGATCCTGTCACCGTTTCTCCTGGTATCGTCAATTTTCGTGTGCCTGATACGCTTTTGCCGCGCCAAGCCGTGTCGATATTAAATGTTTGCAGGCAATTTTGGCGTAATGGTTGCCCACGATCTCGTTTTGCAGTTATTACGGTCGTCCAGAGCTAACGTGTTCGCGTTCCAGCTTTAGGACCTCGACCAATGTTCGACCCGTGGCTTCTCTGTGTCTACGTGGAACGAGTGGAAGCACGAACGTGGTCGCCAAACGCGTTTAAAACGAACACGCGCACGCCTCCTGCGAGGAATTAATTGTATCTTGTCAACCGTGTGTCTATTGAAATGAAATTCTTTGGAATTTAATAAATGGAAGCGAATCAAATAAAATATCTCTCAGATTTTATATTTAGAGATGTTAAGTTCATGAGTTTGAGGTATTTGCTTGTTTCTACTAAATCTCGAATTCGAAGGGTGCAATCTCTCCTTAGAAATAAAAAATTTTTTAAATACCGAATATTGTGTTTTACTTTTCTGCTATGATGAATATTAATTTAAATTAGAATCCAAACTTTTAATCATATTTTTGATTTCTCTTGAAATTTATCATTACAAGTTATGGTGACAGTAACAGAATATTTACATCGTTATAAAATCCCAGTTAAAAAGTGCTTTTACTAGTGCACTGTTCACATTGAGAAAAAAGTGTACAGTGGCGCATGTAACTTACAATTACAATTCTTGGCATTAATATAAATTAAGCTATTACCAGGTATTGAAGTATCCCGCATAATAAATTTTAAACAAAATTGCAGATTGCGAACTACTTCTGCACAATAGCCAGCACCACACCTGGAAAAAGTGCTGATATCGTTACTCGTAAACAAACGATGCTAGGTGGAAATGCATCGATATTGTCATAAGTGCACTTAAGTTAACAAATTGCCATAACGGTGCGTCGAGTAAATTACGTTCCAAACCGACCGTGTCGAGGAAACCTAATGTCTACGCAGAGTTATGCGTTAATGATGATTTTGATGTAGTGCAATGTTTGATCGCGATCGATTTGCATCTATTTCCAAATCTAATGACCAACTCCTTTACGAGAACGAATGTAACGGATACCGCCATTTTCTTTATGACGATCGTACCGAGTTCACTTCCGCGGGATTTTAATTACATATTGTCACCGGCCGATGGATTACAGTGTAATTACTATTCCGTCGCTGCGGGGATATACAATCTATTATACGCGCGCATTCAATTGAAATGCAGGACATTTCACGGTAATTACGTTGTGGTTAATATGCTTTGCAAGTTGACCAACCAGTTTATAGGCGTGCATCCTACACGTATTAAATGGGATATGTTCTAGGGTTGCGCATTTAATGCTCGCTTCTTGATACTTTTTCCAATGTTCTCTATAAAACGTCGTGTTTTATCATGGAAGAACATGTAGGTGAACACGCGTCGAGTGTGCAACACATGGGGTCATAAAATAGTCCCTTGACCGAACATTGGATCTTCATGATGGTTTGTCTACGTCAATGATTGGGACTGATACAATTTGAGATTGGGCTACAACAATGTGGAAAGTTGTAGTCTATCTGGTACTTCAAGAACTTTCAATTTCGTGGTAACATTGAATTCGCTATTTTGAATTTGTAAATTGAATTCAGATTTGTAATCACAACTCTCAGAACCCCTGTATACCAAGTTTCATCCCAATCCAATTACTTTTCGCATCTTGTCCCACAATGCGGGATCCGCCATTTTGAATTTTTAAATTTTGAGTTCAGATTTGGAACCAGCACCTTCAAAAACCCCTGTGTACCAAGTTTCATCCAAATCCAGTCACTTTCCGCAT